AGGGCTTCCTTCAGATTGACTAATGTTCAATCCGGGAAAGACAAAGGAGCAGCAATGAGAGACCGGAGTTTGTTGGTATGTTCAGGGCCTGCCATGGATTTCAGGTCGCAATTGTCCGCCCTTCTGTTTCTTTGGGATGCCTAATGAAGGCGTCGACCAAATCCTTTGGTAAAGAAATGGGTTGCCATAAGGTCTGAAAACCATGCAGCACCCGCGGCTTTCCCCTATGCGAAATCTTGTTTTGGGGTGGCCAGTTTTTTCGGGACTCCCTTTTGGTTCTTGAGCCAGAAGGGGGGATCAAAACAGGCTCAAGGGTCAAAAAAACAATGGTGCGAAGGTGGAGGGAGTCAAACACGGGTGCCTCCTTTCAAGAGTCCATGACAAGCATGTCTTTGACTCAAGGAGCTGGTGGTCGCAGATCCGGTGGGCTTCTCCTCCAACCCCAACGCCGAAGTGGCCGCGGCTCGGTCTCAAAGGGTTTTGGAAAAGGCCCTGGTTATGTGTTGGGAAGTTCCAATTTTAACACCAGGTTTTGATTGTGACTCACCTGGGCCGGTAGAAAAGGGAGAAACTTCTCCACACCTGGGCTGCATCGGACTGGCAATGAGAAGCCCACCTGAGGGTTGATTCCACCCAGATCCCTTGGCGTGTGGTGCCGGAGAAGTGGAATAGTTCAGCAAAACACCCCTAAACCTATCAACAAATGCAAGTATGGAAGAAGCTAATCATGGAATCAAGCCAGGGGTCACTGGGCAACTGTGGAGGCAACCCCTCGGTTCAGGGTCCCGTTGTTTTTCTTGTTTGGAGGGGGCGGCCTTGTCACTACCCACGGAAATCCGGTAGGTCTGTCCGAAGAGGGGAGAATTGGGATTGCCACCAAGCACAAGCCCTTCACCCTGCCGATGACAGGGACCCTAAGTTTTTGATGTCCGGAAAATCGGTTGGCACCTTGAGTTTGCCATAAACATTGGCATGTTCGAACAGTAGAGACTGCTTGCATCACTCACAGCCCCACGCAATCTTTTCGGACGAGTCTGGCGTTCGGTTGGATCTTCCAGCTGGAAGTTCGACCAGTCGCAGCCACCAAGTTCTCTTTCGTTTCGGTGGCTTCAAAAGCCCAGGCCAAAAGAGGGGGGTTGCATTTAATCCCCATCCCTCGCTGACCATCGGGGAACGGGCAATCCGAGCCATCCGCGCCATCCGCGCCATTGGAGGCAAAGGAGACCCTGGCGGAGCTCACCCAGATCCCGGCACTTTGGCCTTTGGCCTTTGGCCTCCGTCAAAGATGTGTTTGGGGGTGCAATGGACATGGGAAGATGAGAGAGAGTTGAGTTGTGGGGGGGGGGGGGTGAAATGGGAAAATGATGAAAGGCATGAATCAAATTGTGGGTGTTGGTATGTTGTTATGTTGGAAAGTTGGTTCGTGAGTGTCCCATCTCCAAGCATCTATACTAGATTGTTGCAGCTCAACTCTTCCAGAGTGCAATCTGCAGGCAAACTCCATTGCCGTCTCGCTGATGCCAAACCTGCAAACCAACGAGACGGTGGACTGCTGGTACACCATGGTGGTCCCTGCAGACCAGGCACCACAAGTGGTTCAGATTGGCACGGGGTCCTGTGAAGGCACTGGTTTTGCCACTCAGGTGATACTAGGGAAGCGCCCTATGCAGAGGGAGTTATTGGCAACACAGAAGTAGAAAGGCCATTGTGCAAGCACGATTCCCTCCCATCCAACTCTGCCTCAAAACCACGTCCAATACCATACCCAGGTGTTCCTCAAAAACGTCGTTGACCCTGTTTGCCTGTTGGTTTTCCTCAAACCCAAGTTTCTGGACTTACGTTTTCCAGCTCTTTTTCTTGGGCTGCATTAATTTGGGAGGCCGGTGCAGTGACTGCCAAACTCCGTGGAGCGCAGAGCACTGCAGAAGAAGCCTTGGGCACCTTGGCCAGGATTGGGACTTGCAGCTTTGGTGTAAAATTCCCTCGGACGAGTTTCTCCTGACCACCGTTTGGTTGGATCTTCGACCTTTAACTGCAGAAGTTGTTGTGTTCCTGCACGAGCCATCACAAAGTTAAACTTTTTGTAGGGGGAAACGGCAGACAAGTTCTGTGATACAAAGGGAGTCCCCGGAATGCGTGGTGGCCTACAATGGTATCGGGTGCTTCAGGCCTAACAAGTGGACCCCAAGTTGATATCGCTACTGCCTCCAAGAAGAACGCCGGCGAAGATTTTGAAACGCCGAATCCAAGCGCTAGATGCGAGGCAAACAGGCGCGTCTTCCTGGCACAGACCAAAAACAAACGGAACCTCGCAAGAGCCCGCCCCACTTCGCTTGGCCGGAGGACACCCAAAAAGGTCCGATCTCGCCAGGAGTTGGCTGGTTGCCCAGAATGGGTGTTATTGGGTCTCGTGCAAGGTGAGCAACTGAAGAAGCAGGGCCTGGAGGTGAAATTGACTGCCACGCGGATCTCAGCCAAGATCTCGGAGACGGCAACGTAATGTGCCGAGTTTGTCTCAAAATAGGGGGAGCCCCAAAATGGTAGTTTTCCGTTTGATGTTTTTGTTGAACATCCCCCAGGGTACCCTCAGAAATGACACACCCGTAGAGGGGTGTTGCGCTGTCAAGAAGTTGCTCCCAAAAGATGAGATGGGTTCAAAGTAGCCATCATCACGATAGTTGATGCTGTTGTCTCCGATCACCATAGATTTGACATAAGAGCAAGGGCGGATTCCCGCCAAGCAATGGTGGACTCTGAAGCAAAATCAACGAGTGGGCAATGGCAGTGCTGAAGCTGTTGATTGGAAGGCCTGCAGGCAAACGGATACATAATGCATGAATTGAACAAATTGTATTTGCTTACATTAAATAGTTGATTATATGTTATGTGAAATGATAGTGTTAACAATATACCATGGAATTATATATTTATATATTTTTATAATTTTTATATATTATGATATATATATATATATATTTATTTATGTAATTATTTTTTATGATTATTTTGATATATGGTTTATGGATTGATTATATTGTTTGTAAGAATTAATTGCAAATGGATATTAAATAGGATGATGATTGGTGTTGATTGAATTGAAAATTTTAAAAATTATTTATATTGATATTTTTATATTATGGTTTATTTTATTTATTTGAAATAAATATTATATATATTATTTAAATGTATATATTAATTTTATTTATTTATTATTATTTTTAATTTTATTTGTAAAAATTAATACGTTATTATTGGCTATTAGGAGTTGTATTATATTTTATTATTTAAGGATTTAAAATATATATTTGCAAATTTAAAATATTGAAAATATATTATTATTTTTATAAATTGAAATTGAAATGATTAGGACATTAGGGTTTTATTTTATTTTATTTTAGGTATGAAGATATATATTTATCTTTATATATTATATAAATTTGTTTTGTCTATTTGTTGGGCCTTATGAAGGCGGGAGGGAGTATTTAATTTATGACTTCTCGAAGATTATTAATTTGAATTTTTATTGATTAGTAATTTATTTACTAAAGAAGAATTATTTTGTTTGGTTTACCGGTTTTTAAGCTATATATATATATTCTTGCCGGATAATTATATATTATTCCTTTAATAAATCGGATTTATTCTTATAATTCCGTTATATAATGTCTAGCTCGTAATCTTTTAGATTTATAGTTTGTTAATCTTCGTTTATAAAATATTTGTGTGCCATTTAATCTTATTTTTAAAACAACGATTATATGGAATTCCCAAAAACATCGTTTTATATTTAAAGGGGTATCGAATAATTAGTGTTGTATATTTAATATAGTTTACCAAAAATATTAAACAACTATATCACGAATAATCTATATATAATACCTCCTAATTAAAGTGTAATTTAGAGCTAATTTAAGAATAATAAATGAGTTTAAGATTATTTAGAATTTAATTAATTCAAAATATTTTATTTTATAAATAATTATATATAAATTATAAATATAATAATAAAATACAAAATAATTTTCAAAATTTCTTTATTTAAAAATACATCAATTATATTTCTAATCATATATATAATATATTTTTATTTTATGTTTTATATTATTATAAAGATATAATCGGAACTAAATCAAGTAATTATATATAGTTATTTCCATAAAAAGATTAGCAATTTTTTATATAATAAGTAGCTCAATTCAAATTTTCAAATCGCAATATTCGAAGATATTAATAACAAAACAAAATCAAGAGAGAAAATCTCGCCCACCCACAACCCAATACCACTTTAAGCACGAAAATTGTAATTGTTTATTGTTTTCGATAAATGGTTCGAGTATTTTTAATGTAAGAATTATTTTTTTTTTAATTATGAGAAATTTATATTTTTTAGATCGAGATTTTTGTTTTTTGTTTTTTTTTGTATATTTGATTTGGATTTTATTTTTAGAATAGGGCGATAATTATTATTAAAAATAGAAAAAATTAGGATAATATAATAAATTTTGTAATTTATTTTTGATTAGGATATATTATAATTGTTATATTTGTAATATTAATAATAGAATAATTTATTATATATATTAAATTTTAACAATATTGTTTTAATTTGGGTTAGATAGTATGAAAATTAAAATAAATCTATTTTGTTTAGAATTGTTTATTTTATTTGTTTTACTTATTTTATTTATTTTATTAAAATTATTAAATTTAAAATTATTAAAAACAATATTTTTTGTATATATATATATATATCAAATAATAAATTTTCCACAATTCAAAAAATGGATTTTAAATTAAATCTATATAATTCCAAAACACAAAATATAATTTTCATCCATCATACAAAAAAAAAATCCCTCAATATCCAATCCATCCATATTTCCCAAACCAAAACCTTAATATAAATATACAAAAAACAACAAAAAATATAATCAATATCAAATATTATTCAAATATATTCAAAAATCAATAATGTCAATTATAAAATAATACATAAAAAAATCAAAATATAACAATTAATTCAATTAATCTCCAAGATTATAATATTCATTCAATTTAATTCATTCAATTATAATATCAACAAAAATATATCTTTTTGGTTTGAATATATTTGTTTCTTACATCATGGCTGCAAATAAGCTTACGTTCGCAGATTTTGATCATCTGCTCCAACAAATTGGGCACGCTGTGGGGGCTTGGCTTGCAGCATCCAGAACTCAATCCTCGCAACAAGTCAACTGAGGAAAGGTTTGGTGAGTTGTGGATAAGCAGCGTAGGAGTCATAACGAAAGTGTGGGAGGACCTTCTGCAACACAAATTCCAACCAGCTGAACAAACCTAGCAATCGGCGAAGCAACCACGCCGTTTTGACCGATTGGCACTGACGTTCGGTTGACATAACAGCCTGGATGTAGGGTCCCAGGTCCCACACCGCCTGCCTCAACAGCAAGTCCCAGACACATGCCCTTGATAAGGTGGTCAAAATAAGGAAGAAGGCATCAAACACGCACCTCGGCCACTTGAGGCTCACTGTTGCTCAACAATGCTTTGCACCACTTTGTAAGGACTAGTCAGCCTCAGCAAGCCTTAGAAAACTTTAATGAGCGCCTATGAGCAAGATTGTGTATTGAAGCCATTCGTGAGCTCAGCAAGGACTTTGCTGAGATGTTCAGGCTGAGCACAGAAAACAAACTGGCCACACCTTGATGTGTTTCGAGCCTGCTGGGCGGTGTTGGTTATTGAGCGCTGCTGAGTGCTGGTGAGTGCTAGAGTGCTAGTGAGAGCTTCCGAGTGTTGCTGAGTGCTACCGAGCACGTGGGTTTCGATTGCGTTTTTCAGGCGATATTGGGCAAAACACTGTGATTTGTTCAATTTAAGCCCTCCCTGACCCCTCCCCCTCAACTTATCAGAAGACTGAGTCAGCTCCAATGCTGAAGCAGCCCTGGTGCCACATTTCTTGCCAGCCAGCCAGATCTTTCCCTCCTCCCCCTCCAAACAAATCTCTTCAGCTTTCTACAGAAGACACGGCAATTTTGACTTTGGACTTGTGGCTCTGCCTGAGATGACAGTCAAGCTAAGCTGAAAGGTTGTCGCTTCCCGACTGGGAAATGCTTGCCACGCGAAGCAAAGTGATGGCAGATATGCCACGCAGGTCGCTCCAACGCTTGGCAGAGATGAGTGTCTACGCTAGCCGATCTTCAGCGCTGGACAGGCCACAGGCCGCATGGGGGGCCCTACGCAAAGAACCCCATCCTGTACAGAAGACACAGCTGTCTTGACTTTGGACTTGTGGCTCTGCCTGAATCGACTGTCAAGCTGAAAGGTTGCTTTGGCTTTGTCCCTGTCCGGACTGCTTCCTCTCTTCACGTCTCTTGCGGGGATACGTCGCACATTGCAAGTCAAACTGGGAACTTGATGTCACTCTGTAACTGACCAAACGCCTCCGCTAGTCAGCATCATGGAAGCGGGTAAACCCTATCAGCCGTGCCCGAAATCACACACGTGCACAATGCCTGCCTTGCCCCTTGTGCAAAAGGGAAAAAAGTAATAAACAATCTTGTTTTGGAGCAGAATTGTGTCCCTTGGGACACTCAGTTACTGGTGATTGCCCACCCTGTGCTGCGCAGAGACTCATTCGTGTTAAATGGAAGATTGACGCAGGCCAAAACCCCAGACTTCCACTTTGAGTTGGCCCTCAGTAGTTAAGTGTGGGGATCAAAGGCATAAAAACCGCTCCCGCCCTCCTGCAGTTCACTACGGCGCTGGATGTGGCAGTGCCAGCCTGAGGTCCACAGAGAAGTTCGAAAGGCTAAGGCGGGACTCCAGAAAGCGCCAATGAGGTTGCCAAAGTCATTGCCAAACAAAACGAAGAGGCTCGGGGTGCAAATGGCCAGCGGCAAGCTCCTAAATTCAGGCAGGTGCAAGACGCCTGAGGCTCGCCGGAGCGGAGCCCTGCAGACCTTGCCACTGCCATTCATCAGCATGGCAGAGTTGTAGCCTATGGCAACCAGGCGCCGGTCTTCAACGTCCAACCTTCTGGGCTGAAAACACTGTGGCCGGAATCGCACACGTGCACAATGACTGCCTTGCCCCTGCCTTCCCCTTTTGTTCCGGGGCTCACAGTATGAACCCACTGGGTTGTGTTGGTTCCCCCTTCTGCTACCAAAGGACTGCTAGCCCCCTTTAAGAGAATAACTGGTCAACCAATTTTTTTGGGGGGCCTATGTTGTCCTTAGAAATGCCACATTGAGGAAGTCATAGGAATTGCGACCAGGGAAACTAGGGAGGACTTCCAACAAGCAAGAAGAGACATGCCCAGGAGATTTAAGATCAACGTGCCTGCTTGGAAGACACTCTTTTGCTTGAGACTCCAATCAGTTACTAATGATTGCCCACCCTGTACTGCGCAGGGACTCATTCGTGTGAAATGGGAGCTTGAAACTCGCGGGCCAGACCACCCCACACTTCCACTTCCAGCTGGCCCACTCCAAAGTCAATACA